TCTCTCTTGATAGCCACTGTCTTGCTGGAGCAAGATGGAATCTCAATCTTCTTTTAATTTGCATCTCTTTAATGGCCAAAGATGTTAAACATTTTTTTATGTACAGTGGTCCCTCAGTTCATGCACTTAATTCTTTTCATGATTGTGGTTGCAACCAAATTACAATTTTAGGAAGAATTGAGTTCATGAATTGAGGCATCACTGTATTGGCCATTTGTAAGTCTTCCTTTGAGGAGTGTCTGTTCATTGCAAAATGAAGTTGTTTATTTTTCATTGCATCATTTATTTTGGAGAGGGGTCTAATTTTTTTAGTTCTTTATATATTCTAGATATTAGCCTTTTGTCTGAGGAATAGGTGGCAAAATTTTTTTCCCATTCTGTATGTTGTCTCTTCCTCCTGTTGTTTTTTTTTCTGTGCAAAAGCTTTTAATTTGATGATTCTATTTGTTGATTCTTGGTGTTATTCTTGTGAAATTGGGGTTTTGTTCAGTAATTTTTTGCCTGTGACTTCAAGAGTTTTACCTATTTGTCTTTCAGAAAGTTGTGTTTCTTCTTCAGCATTTATATCCTTGATTCATTTTGATTTTAGTTTTGCACAGGGTGAGATACATGAGTTTAGATTCAACCTTCTACATATGAACAGCCAGTTTTCCTGGCATCATTTGTGAAAACAGCTTTTTTTCCAGTGTATGTTTTGGCCCCTTTGTCAAAGATCAGATACATGAATGTGCTTGGAGTTGTTTCTGTACCTGTCTTTGTTCCACTGATCCACATGTCTGTTTTTGTGCCAGTACCATGTTGTAGATTTGAATATAACTTGAAATCCAGCATTGTTATGTCTCTTGGTTTGCTATTATTTCCCACTATTGCTTTTACTAATATTCTAGGTCTCTGTTGGATCCATATAAATTTGAGTATTGCTTTCCTTATTTTTGTGAGGAACAGTATATTGGTAATTTGATCAAGTGTTAAGGTTTGTGTCTAGATGTCCTACAAAGCCTCGTGCAATCATGGAGTGGGCTTCTAGAGTTTTTGCTTGATTCATGGTCCAATGCTGGGTTTATGGGTATGAATGCTGCACTGCCCTGGGGCAGGTAGCCTGCATACAATATAAGGAAGGGAAAGAGGCTTGCACTTCTTCCCCTTTTGGCTCTTGTTGCTTTTGCTCTCTTCAGCAGCCATGCGCTGTTGCCGTCTGCCATGTGCTACTCTTCCTTGGAGCCAGTCAAGTATGGATTGAAACCTTCACAAACTGTGAGCTAAATAAACCTTTCCCTCTTTGAGTGTCGAGTACTTTGTTCCAGCCATGAGAAAAAAGTAACCAAGTGTTATGCTTTGTATCTGTGTGTCCCCCCAAAGCCTCATGTGGTCATGGGGCAGACTTTTAGAGTTTGATTGATTATGGGTGTGAGAGCTGCACCCACCCTGGGGTGGATAGTTTGCATATGTAAGGGAAAGCAAGAAGCTGCTTGCGGCCATTTCCTGACTTTTGTGCTTGTTGCTTTGCTGTGTTCTGCTGCCATGAGCTGTAGCCCTCTGCCATGTGCCATTCTGCCTTGTAACCTGCCAAGTATGGACTAAAACCTCCACAAACTGTAAGAGAAATAAACCTTTCCTTCCTTAATTTTGGGCATCAGGTATTTTTGTCTCAGCAACTAGAAAAAAGTAATCAAGACACCAAGACACTGAGATTGTGTTAAATCTGTGTATCAGTTTTGGAAGTATGTCCATTTTGAATAACTTTGTTCTGTCTATCCAGGAACAGGGGATAGTTTTCCATTTTTTTCTTGTTCTCTTCAATCCTCTTTTATGACTACTGTAGTTTTCATTGTAGAAGCCTTTCACTTTCTTGGTTAATTGTTAAGTATTTTATTTTTCTTCATGTTATTGTAAATGGTATTATTTTCCTAATTTCTTTCTCAATGAGTTTCTCACTGCTACAGAGAAATGCTATTGATTTTTGTGTGTTATCTTTGTATCTTGCAATGCTACTGAATTTGGTTATTAATTCTAAATCTTGTTTTTTTATCTTTTTGAGAAAGGGTCTCACTATGTAGTTCAGGCTGGCCTTGAGCTCACTTTGTAGCCCAGGCTGGTCTCAAACTTGCATGATCCTTCTGCCTCAGTCTCCCAAGTGCTGTGATTACAGGCATGTGCCATCATGCCTGGCCTAAAAGTCTTTTGGTGGAATTTTTTTTGTCTTCTATGTAGGGGACTATGTCATTTGCAAATGATGATGTTTTGACTTCTGTCTTTCCTATACATACCTTTTTAATTGCTTTTTCTTATCTTGTTTTGCTGGCTAATGGTGTGAGAACTATATTGAACAGGAGTGGTGGTATGAACATCTTTGCCTTACTCTTGATTTTAGAGGGAAAGCTTTTAGCTTCACCCCATTTAATATAATTTTTGGCCATTGTTGTGTCATAAATGGTTTTTATTGGATTAAGATAAGGTCCTTGTCTTAGTTACTTTGTTACTTTTCTCACCGCTGACACAAAATACTGGACACCCAAAGTTAAAAGGGGAAAGGTTTATTTGACTCACAAATAATTGGCTGGCTCCCATGCAGCGTGGCACATGGCATAGGGGCAACAGTTCATGGTGGGGGAAGACTGCAAAGGCAACAAGCGAGAGCAAAAAGGGGGAAACAAGGCCTTTTCTGCCCTTTTATCTTATCTGGACTGCTGGCATTAGGGCAGTACCAGTTCTATCAGTGGAGTTATCTAGCAACCACCAGCCTTAATCCAAGCACCCTTAATCCCAGCATTACACTATGAAAGAGTCACAAACACTAGATTCAACTATCTCCAAAAAAGTCTGTCCCACATGACTGAAAGAGACTTTTAGGGGACATATAGACACAATGAATAGCAGTCCTTTCATACCTATTTTCTTCAGGGTTTTTGCCATGAATGGATGTTGGATTTTGTCAAAGGTATTTTTCTGCATCCTTTGAGATGATCATGATTTTTGCCCTTGCTTCTGTTTATGTGATATATTACATGTATTGATTTGTGTATGTTCAACCACCCCTATCTCCCTGGGAAGAATCCTACTTGGTCATTATGTATGATTTTATATGTATATATATATTTATTTATTTGCATTCTGTTTGCCACTATCTGCGTGAGGCTTGTCATATCTATGTTCATTAAAGTAATTGGCCTGTAGTTCTCTTTTTTGGTTGCTTCAAAGAAAAATATGTATTTTGTTACTGTTGGGTGGAAGACTGTATAGACAGTTATTAAGTCGATTTAGACCAAGGTTTAGTTCAATTCCAATATTTCTTTCTTGTTTTTTTTTTTTTTTTTTTGTCAAATTGATCTGTTTACTTGTGATAGAGACATATTTAGGTCCCCTACTATAGCTGTGTTGATGTTTATCTGATATTTTATGTTCATTAATGTTTGTTTTGTGAAGTTGGGTATGCTGGTGTTTGGTGCATAATGTCTATAACTGTTAACTATTCCCCTTGAATTGTTCACTTGACCAATATGTAGTAACTTGTTTGCTACTTCTGACCAGTTTTGACTTGAAGTCCACTTTGCCTGAAGATAGGGTAACTACTCTTGCTTGTCTTGCATGGAACTTTGCATGGAATATTGCCATTGCATGGAATATTGTCCTCCATTCTTTGATATTTAGTCTATAAATTTCTTTCTGGGTTAAATATGTTTCTTGTATACAGAATATTGTTAGATTTTTGTTTCTTGATCAATTCTGCCAGTCTGTTTCAGTTGATTGAAATATTGAGACTATTTATATTGAGAGTTATTATTGAAAGTTATTGAGCTAATCCTGTTATTGAGAGTTATTATTGAATTGAGCTAATCCTGTTATTGAGAGTTATATATTGTTTGTATTGAGAGTTATTATTGAAAGTTATAGAGCTAATCAGAAGCAATCCTTCTGATTGCTGATTCCCTTTTCTTTCTCTTCTGTGTAACCAATGGTTTTATAGAAAATGGAATCACAAGAAACTCAGGCTGGAATTCAGGGTTTGGAGAGTTAGGATGATGTTCCAGGAGAAGATGATATGACTGTCCAGTATTTGAATAAATGTAGATTTTTGTACATGAATAAATGTTGATTCTTGTACATGGTTAAATGTAGGTTGTTGTACAGTAAAAAGAAGACATAACCTAAAACAAGCCTTATTGCACCTTTTGGAGCAAAATTTAATATAAGGCCTGGTTATATTTTCAGAGAAGTACAGTATGTTGGACATCCATATTCTGTATCATTTTCTCAATCTAAGCTAGCTTTTTGTAATATCTTCTGTAGGTTTGCTAATTATTTTGTTTATTAGGTCCATTATCTATTTAGTTAATCCTCTTTTAACTCACCAACACTGATTTTTTAAAATCTCCTTTGTTATCCTTTTGATAATTTGACTGTGTGGCTTTTGATTTCCTTTGCCTTGCTGTCCCTGATTAGGTTTGGTAGAGTTAGCAGTTTGGGGAGGCATTTTCTTGCATGTTGTCTCATGTTTCTATATTTTATTTTATTTTATGCTGAGGATTGTGAAAGATTTTGTTTCTAGTAAGGAGACCTCTTTAGTTAGTTAGTATATGCTTTTCAGTGTTGCATCCTGACCATGACTAACTGTAGGTCTTTGTTCTGTCCTAAGATTCAACCATCTCTATTGGTTATACTAATAAAGATAAGGGGATGGGGAACCGAAGAATGAAAACAGTAAAATTTGAAAACCTAATGCAAGATGATAAGGAAAAGAGAAATGTGAAAGGAAGGATCCTATTGAAGAGTAAATAGAAATTAATAGTATTAGAAGGAACAGAAAAGAACAAACCACTAAAGAAGAAGCAAAAACAGAGAGGAAAAGAAAAATATGAAGGAAAGTAAATTAAAAAGAGAAAAGAGACATGAAAAATGAGGAAAAAAAACCACCCCAAAACCCAATGAAGAAAAAAGAAAAAAGAAGTCCTCTCAATTTCATCTATATTTTTTAATGAATAGTTTCTTTCCAGTATCTGGAGTCTTGGAATCCAGGAAGTCACTGCTTCCTCCACCCTGCTTGATGGTCTGTGGGTTTGTGAGATGTCCCCTTGCTCCAAAGGTCTCTCTGCCTGAACACCCGACCGTGGCAACCATCCAAGTAGAGATGTGTCCTTGTTCATGCTGGTCAATGAAGAAAGCAATCAGATCATGGGTCTCTGCTGGATGTAGGCAGTGGGGTGGGGATTCAAGCAGATTGCCAGACTTAACGTCCACATTGTCAGATCCAGCTGCTTCTGAAAGCCATGTTTGTTGAGGCTGGTTTCTCACCATAGTGCCTGGGAGCCCATGTTCTTCTCAGCCTGAGCTTAAACATCTCAGAAAGTTTATGTTTAGCCTGCATCATCTCCACAACTATCTCTCATGGTTGTCTCTCATCCAGTCATTGTGGGAGGATAACACTGGAAGTTCTGAAGTGGAGTAGTTCTGCAGCTGTTCCGTGGCTCAATCTGGAAATAATCCCTTGCCAAAATGGCACCTGACCAAACACTCTCTGGCAATCTACTGGCTGCTGCACTGGGTTTCTTCTCCAATTTTAGCCTACTGAGGAGTCACTTTCAGAGCACAGTAAGTCCTGACTCATGAACAAGTTGCATTTGGGGAGAAAGTTCATATGTTGGATTTGTTCATAAGTCCAACAAAGTCAGTCTAATACACCTTTAACACAAATATACAATGTAAAGCATAAAAAATCAAACACAATGCACAAATACTGTGCACTATCACATTGTACAGTGAGGACACAACAGTGTGACTGTAACAATGTCTGGCAGACGTGAGCTACTTTCACGATTTGTTCACATCTACAAATATTCATAACGTGAGGTCCATTCTTATCTGTGAAAGTTCACAACTTGAACATTTCTAAGTTGGGGAGATATTGTAAAACCCCACACTGCTTTTGTAGTTTGCAATAGCTGTGGGCTCTTTTTGGAGTTAGCATTGCTAACTGGATCTATAATTTTTCCCTAGATCTGCCTACCTCCAGGGTGACCTTCTCTTCCTGGGCATTGTTCATGATGTAGTTGGTCGGTTGGTTGGCAGATCTGCTGCCCCATGCCGAGGGAGAACAAACCACAGAGCCAGATTGGAGTTGGAAAACTGCTGTGCCAGGATTGAGAGTCTACCTGTATTTAAAAGTTTTAAAGGGAACCTGCTGTAGTTTGGATCTTGAGTGTAGCCCTAAGGCCTATGTGTTCGAGGCTTGGTCCTCAGGGTGACTCTATTGGGAGGTGATGGGAACTGCTTGGAGCTGGGGCCTAGTCGGAGGTTTTATGTCATTTGGAAGTGTGCTCTTGAAAGGAATCATGGAGTGCTGGTCTCTTTCTTTCTCTTTTACTTTCTGGCCATGAGGCAAATAGTTTTCCTCCGTCACTCTCCCTGCCATGATGTGCTACCTTTCTACAGGCCCAAATGCAATGGGACTAACCAAAGACTGAAACCTCTAAAACTGTGGTACAAATTAAACCATTCCTTTTTTCAAGTTGATTATTTCAGGCATTTGTTACAGTAACAGAAAGCTGAGTCATAGAACTGATTGCATATGTCTGTCTTCTCTTTCTCCTAGAAGCCAGCCTACAAGGACAAGAGAATGGAAGAAAAAACCAAAAAATCATTATGTTGGTTATACTTGCAGTGATACAAGCACAAAACAACCTGCTTTTCCTCCCATCAGTCTTTAAATGTGCTCTGTCAAATCTCTTTTCACCACACCCACACCTGAATGATATCTTCTGCAGATTCTAATCCTCTTCTGGGCACTTTTGTAGATTACAGTAGTCTCATTTTCAGGTATTGAAAAGTCCAGTCCAATCTTAGCTTCACTCTTTCATCTATTCCACACCTTGTCCCTTTTCCTAGCTTAGGTCTGACCTGAATTCTTGTAAATGAAAGTAAAGCTGTATAGTCTATACTGATTTTCTCACTTTCTCTTCATCCTATCTATTCTCCCATTTACTACCTGATGCTTCTACACTTCTTCCAGTGTCAAGCCAATAGAGAGGAGGGACTAAAAGAGAAGAAGGACGTTGCTTTTGATTGGATCTTGTTCCTGGCATTCATACCTCTGTGTTGCAATTGTCCAAAGCTGACTCTTTCTGATGGTACTTTTGCAGAGCTTTCTTCCTACTCAAGCACAAGACTTTTGATATTATGCTTTTCTACTCACACTTGACCAGATAAAACATCATGCAGCTGACTTCTCCCTTTAGATACCCTGTTGAAAGTTCATTCAGTTGAGCCAAACCTCTTGGATAGGGTCCCTTTCAGATCAGTCTTATTTTCCAGGTTTCTGACTTAGTTCTTGGAAAACTCACAAATCTCAACCCAAATCAAAATGGAAATTCAGACCATTTCCACTGTAGTCTTATGTTTACTCTACCCAGGCATTCTTGGGGAACCCTGTTGATTAGAAGGCATTAATCTTTCTGTCCCAATTGATCCATGTAAGTCCAGAGGACACAGGTCTAGTTTTTGCCCCCTTCAGAGGGGACAGTACAGAGCATGACCTAGGGTTTCTGTAGTTCAGCAGCAACTGGCTGGGGGCCAAGTTGTTGGTCTCCACTCCTAACAGATAACATAATGTTTTGAATATATGCCATGAACCCCTCTTCTTGACACAAATGATAGAAGCATCCACTTTAAAAGTTCATGTTTATGTCTCTCTTCAAAAAGTGCTCATTTGTTCTGAAGATTCTTTAGTTTTTACATCACTTTTTCTTCATATACATGCTAAATGTAGGGTAAAAGCCAAGTTTTTTTTAAAGGAATGCATGGTATATGATTCCTACCTTAATGTCTAGCACCTTCCTTTGGAATATGGGATACATTGCATTGTAGGCATTAAGCCTCAACACAAACTTCAAATTTATTTAAAAGTTTGTGTAAAGCCTGTTATACTATAATTACATAATGGCAGATAATTACAGACACATTACTAATCAAAGAATAAAAAGGGACTCCTAGAAATTAAAAGTGATAAGTGAAATTTTAAAATTCAATACAAGTTGGAAGTGACAGCCAAGGAAATGTCCATGAGGGTAGACATCACAATAGAAGACAGTAAAAGAAGAGATTTTCAAAGAAACAATAAAGCAGTATCTTGCTTGAAAATACCTTGTAAATGCCATTCAGAAGTAATGAAAATTTGCTCACATCAAAGACATTATTATGATATTTCAGAATATAAGCTATATAGAGTAGATGCTAAGATTTTGCAGAGAGAAAAACCAGGTCACATAATGAAGAAAGGAGAATCACAATCAATGTGGCATGATTTCTTGAGTCACATTAAAAGCTAGAAATGGAATAATGTGTTCAAAAGTCTAAAGAAAAGTTATTTTTAACCCAGAATTCTATACTAGAATGAGATTCTAATCAGCGAAAAGGATAAAACAAAGATATACTTAAGTATTCAAAAAGTATAGGTACTGGTTGTCTAAGCAATGTCCATCCTTCCTTCCTTCCTTGTCTTCTAGAAGAATTTGTTGGGTGTGAAAATGTGCTCCAATGCTATATTTTCCAGGTTCCTGTTTAGATTAGGAGTGGACATGGGAGTTGTTTCTGAGCAATACAATGTAAAAGGATGACTCCTAGGAAACATCCTTCAAAGGGGGTAAGATACAGCACACATACTGTTTGCTCATTTTCCTTCTTATCTTCCTGCCTGGATATGAAACTTTAAGTTGGAACATCTTTTTTTCATGTCTTTACAAGTTCCTGTTGATCTGTTTGTATAATTCTGTTTTCCACACCTTTCCCCTTTCTAGTTCTATTAAATAACCTTGAAACTTATCCCTGTTCAAAGACAATAAATAATCCATTTGATCAAAGCTGCTATCATAATTGTATCATTGGAGTCTGTATCACCATACCCATGGAAGTAGGTTCTGGACTACAAATTTTTAAATGAATACATGATCCAAAGAGTGAATAAACATTACCCTCATCTGTTACCTTTTGAGACTCCACCACCTTATATCAAGGCTTTTGCACTTGATTCATTGAACCTTTTCCTTACAGTATTTGCTAACATTGCCAATGACACCTATGACCCACAAGATCCTTCCAACTCCTTGGCCTTGATGATCCTTGACTTCTCTTAAGGGGAGTGCCAAGTTATGTTCCTTTTTGTCTTTCTATTTTCTTCTTCCACAGTATTTGTCGCCTCTTGCTAGGACACATACAATGCTGTCTTCGAGTTCCTTCACTCTATAATGACACTGCCACCAGGTTTATCTGAGAGACAGAGGTTCTTGGCTTTAAACCTAATTTGTTAAAAATTGTCCATGGACTTGAAGATCTCCATGTGTAACCTAGTTCCAATATCCCCTCCTCTCCTAACTCTCATGACCACCCAAACTCAGTATCTCTTCTTAACCCAACTAATGTTGAACTCCTCATGGTGAGACCAATTCTAATGTCACTTTCTCCCCTGCCCAATGATTGCAGCAGAATTAAATCCCAGAGCCTCTATGACCACAAAAACATTAAATAGTTATATCCATTACAGCATTTATTAAAACAATTAATACTATACATGCCATGCCATCTGCCCACGTATACTTATGGACGCTGCTTTATTTCTGTAACCCTAACTGTCCTAGCACAAAATGCCAGGCATGTAGTACATGCTCAAAAATTGTTAGATGAACTGAATTGAGATTCAAGGCACTAGTACTGACTGCAGTTTAAATCTACTGTCTTCTGAAAATAGGAAAAGCAATGTAATGCATATCAACTCCCTTAGGAATACTGCCTCATAATTATTTTAAAAGTTTTCTATTTTATCAAAGAGCCTTAGAAACTGCTTCTTTTCAAAGCTTCACTAAAGTATTATTTTTCTAATTAATTATTGCAGAGGGATAACTATTGCATAAATCAATTTCCAACTTAGTTTGATCCTGATCACTAATGAAATAGATAGAAGATCTGGAGCCCCAAAGAGAATGTTTTCAGATGAATAATATATTTTATTTGTCAGCAGTCCTCAGGCTCAATTTATGGAGAAATTAACTGAAAGTGTATTGCAAATAATTGTCAGCTCATTGTCAGTCTGCATTTCCAAGGTCCTGAGTAGATAGAATGACGAAAGGTAATTTCGTTTTTCTTTGTAATTGCTTTTGGATAATACCAGAGCCTCTGAAAGAGTGTGAAGCTCTGCATTTTGAAAATTGCAAAGAAAATGCAAAGCTGGGGTTGAATACCAAAAGTTCTCCATATGTCAGATGTAGCTGAATTAACATTTCTAGGGCTCTTTGCAGTCTGTTCCACTAAAATTGTCTACAACAGATAACATGACTTTGGACTTGAGACTTGAAAAACACTATTTTATGTGTCAATGGTGATACTTAAGAGGGAGATCTGAGTCCAATTAGTTTGATAGTAATTTCTGAAAGGAGCTAAAAAGACAGTAAAAATCCTTTACATGATATGAGGAGTTAGTGAAAGTTCTTTAGCTACTGAAAATTATCAGAAAAGAGGATAAGAAAGTTATGGCTTTCCTGTTACAAGACTTGCCAGAGAGTTTCCTATGCGTATGTTCATTGTGATTTTCTAAGAAGGGCAAATGATATATGCAGTGTTCCAAAACTTATCCAAACTATGCTTTCTTTTGTGGAATAAAGGTATTATTTAAGGACACACACTTTGAGAGGTATTGATCTGAAGTCTGACAGCACAGTATATAGGGACTTTCTAAAGTTAATGATTAGTGATTTGTGGCATTATAAGGAGTGGTACCACTGCTTTGTCTTAATTCATTAGAATAAATGCAAATAAATGACAGAAAGCTGACGTATGTATGTATATACATATCTATCTATCTATTCCATCCATCCACCCATCCATCCATGCATTCATCCTTCCATCCATTTTGCAGTACTGGGGATTGAACCCAGGGCCTTCTCACCGAACTGCATCCCCAGTCCTTTCATTATTTTTTATTTTTGAAGCAGGGTCATGTTAAGTTGCTCAGGTAGAGCTACAACTTGTGGTCCTTCTGCCTCAGCTTTCTAGAGTGCTGGGATCAAAAGGATGCACAACCATGCCTTATTTATAATTTTATGTTTGTCTTTCATAAAGCATTATTTCTTCTCTTTCCATTATCTGCTCACTTTCTCCATTAAGTTTTAGAAGCTCGCTTATCTTCATTGTTCATAGATTACTCTTCTCTTTGGTAAGGCAGCAAACTACCTGGAAGGCAGCAAATTACCTATGCCCTCCCCTCTGCTGTGGTCTTCTCTCGTGTCCTCATTATCCTTGCAGGTTAAAACTTTTCAGAAATTATTTTCATTTCAGTTGTGCCTTAAGACATGAGCATTTGGTCTTTTTTTTTTTTCTTAAACCCACAGCTCCTTGCCTTTGCTTCCCACACCCAGAAAACTACTGGTGCAGGTCTCCACTGACTTCCTAATTTCTAGGTCAGTAGATAGTTATGAGTCTTCTCTTGCTTCAACTTTCTTCATACCAGTCCCCCTTTTCTCACCCCTGCCCGTCAATACTCTTCCTGTGTTGGGCCTCTGGAAAACCCCTGCCTGCTCCAAAAGTCTCCTGCCCTGCCTTCTCTTCCTTTGCTCCCTCCTTATATGAGATTCCCGAGAGCTTTATCTTTGGATCTCACTGCACTGTCAACATAGTTTCAATTACCATGTTTATAGGATGACTCCAAAATCTGTATCTCCTATGTTCATTAGGGCTCTATGTTGCAAGTAACAGAAACTGTTTTAAATTTGATAAGGAATAAAGAGGAGTGTATTAGCTCAATTATTGGAACTGAAGACTCAACCAGACGCTCAAAACTGTCCTCACTCAGGGGCTTTTGTCCCCGCTGCACCTCTCAGCTCTTTTCTTCACACTGATCTGGTTCTTAGTTAGTTGCTTTAGTTTGTCATAGCAGATGCTCTGAAATTTCCCAGACCTGATATCTCAGCATCCCAGAGAGAGAGGGCATCTCTGTCTCCACAGCTGTAGCCAAGTTCCTATGAAGAATGTGACTTTGCCTATTCGTCCTTTTCTGGTCTTGGGGAAAGCCTGGGAATCTACCTCCTCTGACTTACAGGGCTTGAATAATTTGCTATGGCGCAGCAAACGAGAAGTGGGTCACAAAAGGAAGCCTGGATAGAAGAGATGAAGTGAGGAAAGAGATACTGTATCCAATTGATTGAGGAGCTCTGGATTCATGACACTTGTGTTGTCACCTTGGCTCTTTGCACTTCTTGTCCCGTATCTGTAAAAAGAAAAGATTGAAGATCTAAAGTCTTTTGTCTATCACAGTCTTTATATAGCTCTGTAAATAGTGAGCATAACAAGCAAAAAACTCTTTGAAGGTGCCTCTGGGCACCATCCAAGGGGCTGCAGAGCAAGGTGAGTTAGGTCATGAACCTGAATTCAGATGGCCTGGTTCAACACTGCCATTCTGCCTTATGTCTGACATCATGGGGATCTACTTTGTCTGTGCATGACCTGCTCAGTCTCCTGGAGTCTCGTGAGGTTCAGAAAGCCTCACACTTGAGTTAACACTGTAATGTTACTGGCTTGAAATTCTTGGTAGTTTTACACTTGAACTCTTATGTTTCATCAGTGGTGTCTGATGGGACATTTAAGCATATAGTAGAAGAGGTAAGCATAGTGTGAGTTCTGTTGTTCCTTCACAACCCATACCCCTGCAGAGCTGGCAGTGGCTCATGAATACAGATCACCAGTGGACCCACATGGTGTGGGTCTTTGGTCTGTGTGATTCAAAATGGGTAGAAGGTAAGTATATCATCACTAGTGCTGACTTTCCACTTGAAGCAGCACTTGCTTTAAATGCATAAAGAAGTCAATGGCATTCTAAGAAACAAATAGCAGGGAATGCTACATGCACTTCCTTATGTTATCTCTTTTTGCTAATCAACTACTTTGTTTATAATAGTGACATAGAGGAAAAGAGGATTTAATTTCATTTCTTTTAAATTCTTTTTTACTCATTAGTAAGCCAAAAGTGAGCAGTGTTGGTAGAATGTGTACAACTCAAATGAAATAAAGGTAGTTAAATTAGTTTTGTGCAGCATTTCTGTTCTGTGAGAAAAAATGCAGGTACACGTATGAGCTGCAAAGGAGCAAAGTGTGCAGTTTTGATTTTTCTGCACAGAAGTTATATTTGCATTTAAAACTGGCATTGTACAATATCAAATGAATGCTAAAATTCATATTTATAGCAAAACTAAAATTTTGTGTACCTATGAAAACATTAAGCAGCAAATAACAAATTAAGAGAGACTAAGAAGAAAAAGAAAAATTTTTGTATTTTAGTACTTTTTAAAAAGCATCTATTTTCTGCTTTTGAACAGAAGGATCTATATTTTCATTGTGCACTGGATCCCCAAAATTAGGTACAGTAGCATGCCCTGCATCTGAAATTTACTTTTCTGTGATTTTGCCTCCCTATTTATTATACGGGCACAATCAGTAGGGTCTCTACTACCAGGTTGTTGCAAGAATGAACTGGTCTTGACACTCTGCAATTACTCATGGAGGGCGAGCTTTTGTTATGCAGATGAGTCAGTACAGTCAACTTATAGGTGACTTCAGTCATCCAATCTTAAATTTCCCTTAATTATGACTTTCAGCAAACCAAACACGTTAGCTAATTTCCTACCCTTTTTCTACTTTAAGTAGTTTGAATGTAGTTGATGTTTTATATTGCTGAATTCCACACTGTGGATTCAACCAACCTCAGCCTAAATGTATTCTAGGGGTGGGGTGGGGAGAATAACAGTCTATACTGAATATGTATATATATATATATATATATATATATATATATATATACTTTTTTCTAAACAATATAGTTAAACATTACTTCATAACATTTACTTCGTGTTAGGTGTTAAAGTAATTTAGAGCAAATTTAAAATACTGTATATGAGAAGATGTGTATAGTTTACATGCAAATACTACACAATCTTATATAAGAAATTTGAGCCTCTGCAGATTTGGGTATCTACAAGGGAGGAAAGGTGGAGGGTGACACAGAACCAGTCTCCCTGGGCAGCTGAGGGATGAGTGTTTCAATGTCATTTGAGTAATAGGCTTGCTTAACTTACTGTTTTTAAAATATACCATCAAAATTAGCAGGAGACTGTATGGAGTCAATAGTAGGACAAAAGGCATCAAGAAAAATATTTCAGGAGAAGACCATTATAGCTCAACCCTTTTCTATTCCCTCCCTATAAAAGCTAAAAGGAAGGATTATTGTTTATGTGAAAAAAGCAAAAGACATTTCTTACTTCCAACAACAGATGGCGATGTAGCTAAGCAAATGGCAAACTATTCACCATGTGGAAAATTCTGTCAAGTGTGAGGACGCCAAGCTATAAATAACATATGGAAAACAATGAATATTTTAATTGGGTGTTAATAACTGAATATTGAATTCTTGTCTTCCACCTAACTCATAACAATGTTATGACAACTAATTAATAAATTATTGTAAAGGAAATGATTAATTATTTACAGTAATAATTAGAATAGCTTACATGCTCATAATCATAAAATGGTTTTCACAAATAGATACAAAAGCAAGTCATTATTCTGTTGTTACAGGAATATTGTAGTGCCTCTTTGAGGGCAATTTCCATCATCATTCCACATAGTCTGGGTTTACTGCACAGGCACCATCTTGCATTTGTTTGATCAAGCTTCATTCTAGCCATGGAATCGTGTATGCATATTTTTAAGAGTAGCTTGTCATACTTATTTGAAGTTGCTTACATAAGAGTCAGTGTGGAAGCCTACTTGTGTTGGGGAACTGTGTGGAGACACATCAACCATAGAGCAAACCAAAACAAAACCCTGCACCAGAAAAATCAAGTCTCCCTGCAGAGTCTCTGTCTCTCGTGCCTGATTTCCATATATAAAAACAAATCTTAAAAGCAAGTATATAATCACAGATTTCTTCTCCTCTTGTTCTCATTCCATATTTCAGATCTCTTTGACTGCTTCATATCTTCAGGATATAATGAAATCCCTTGTTCTGGAAGGAAGCCACGACAGATATATTTCAAGACCTCCCTTTCCTCTCTGCTAGCAGGAGAGCTAATGCAGTTTACTTATTAGATGAGTCACCATGGATACTGATATACTCAAGCCAAGTCTACCCCAGTGAGGGGAATTGGAGAATTGAGGCAATTATCCTCATAATTTAAATAAACAAAGTTCCTCTCATTTTTGTTTCGGTTACCTGAATTTTTCAAGTGCATATCTAATTTTAGTTTTGAATTATTAGAGGTGGTTCTTGCCTCAAAGTCTCTTATTAAATTAGCTAGCGGAGATGTGGACTCCTTTACACATAGCAAATGTATTCCTGCACTTTCATTTTATCACCCCAAGCACTTCTACGCGGCATTTGGGGAAGCAATGTGAATAATTCAAGTCTAAGATGAAACATTTCTGGAAGGTAGACAACATTCAGATCTGGAAATGGCTGCTCAGAGAGAACAGATATTTTCAATCTCACAAAGACATTCATAATACCATCTCCTTCCTGACAATATGGCTCCCAATATGTCCTAAATGGACCACAAGTTTCTCTACTGATCCCCGGACAAGACACAACCTTCACTGGCACTCCCAACTGGGATTTTAGAACTTGTCCTGTCTGTCTCTCTTAATCCCATCTTTCTTCTCAGACCATATCCAACCCTTGCCAGTGTGAACTCTCTTATCTTGTTGCCCCTAACTCGATGCTGAGATGCAAGAACTTTTCAAATGTGAGGCATGGTTGTTACCATGCTGTAAGGCATCATATTATTGTTATTTAATTTCCATATTCAGTATCTTATTTATGACCTTTTGCCTTCACACCACCATTTGGTGGCTTCCAAAAGGATGCTGGAGAATGTGATTATTATGATATGAGCTCCAAATAACTATGATCTGCATTTCTTTTCATACCCTGCATTTTTGAAGGCTAGCTTTCCACATTTAGCCTATGCCACTGCCTGAGATATGCCTTGCTGTACATACGTGTCTCAGCATTGAGGTTTCCTTAGGCTACCTTGTCTCTGATTTCTTACCCCAGCAGGAGCTAGCTATTTTGCATGTTCAGAGGCTGAGCATCTGTCTGGCTGGACGGCATGCTGTGGGTGGAAAACTGTGTGATAGAAATGGACATTGGCAGCTGATGGACATGGGTTTGAATCCCATTCTTTCACTTCAATAGTATGAAATGTTTCTTACTTTCCCTGAACCTCAATTTTTGTTTCTATAAAGGAGGGATAATAATACATATCCGGCAGGGTGGTACTTAGAAATAACTTATGTAAAGTATCTTTCAAGAGGTGAATGCTTAATAATGACAGTGATGGCTAGGGCTGCTCTTTATGCAATAGGAGGGCAGATATTTTTATTCTGTTGCTATTATGTTTCACCTTCCTTTCTCTACCTTAATAGAACTTTACAACTCAGTACTTATTTTTTGAAAACATAAGGTGAGCTCAGCACTGCAGGAAACGCAAATGACATATGCTGCCATAACTGCATTTAATGAATTGCCCTCTTGTGACAAAAAGACAAAACAGATATGTGTGTAACAGAGTAACAACAATAATAATAATAATAGAACTTAAAATATATAGATTGAGAATTTTACTCAATGACATAGTTTGTGTTAAATGCTTTATAAATTACACTTTATTTCATCATCATGATAACACAGAAAACAAATATGATTATTGTCATCCTGGTTTTACAGAAAAAGAAAAGTGAGGTTCAGAGAGATTAGTATACTTACCCAAGGTCACACAGCTAATAGTGCCAGAATCCTGACTTGAAATTGGGTCATCTGACTCTTTGAATCTGAGCCCTTAATCACTGTGCTTAATTGTTCATATTAAGTGGCACAAAGAGCTGCTAATTTTCAGAGAATGGAGAGGCCCTTGTAGGTGGAAATCGTCTACAAAGTGTCTTAGGGGAATGTACCTTTATCTGCACCTCACAAGGCTATCTTTAAAAGGGCATAGTTAACAGTAAAATGTAACAGTCACAAGAAGGTGAATCCGAAGCTCCCCATGAAACCACATGTCCATCATTTTTCTATTTGGGTTTGTGCCAGGACCTGAATCTTCTGGAGTTATTCACTGCTGGTCAAGATGTCCCCTGCTCCCTGTGATTTCATTTCTTTACATCAATCATTTGACTCTCATTGTTTAAAGAACCAAGGGATTTCTGCCCTGGAAGGGCTGT